TATATATATATATATATATAATTTTTTTTTATTTTTATTAAATTATTACAAAAAACATTTGAAATAAACTGAACATTCTATTTTACTCTATATTTCTATGATGCTGAAAACTCCGCTTCAGGAATACATTACATTTTCACAATATATTCACATAGAAGACCGTTATTTTAAACAATTTTGATCAAATAGTACAGTTTGGACTGCATTTTAATCAAATTTTTTATTTTTATTAAATTATTACAAAAAACATTTGAAATAAACTGAACATTCTATTTTACTCTATATTTCTATGATGCTGAAAACTCCGCTTCAGGAATACATTACATTTTCACAATATATTCACATAGAAGACCGTTATTTTAAACAATTTTGATCAAATAGTACAGTTTGGACTGCATTTTAATCAAATAAACACAGTCTTGGTGAGCAGAAGAGATTATACTGATGTGTAAGACACTTACTTAACAAATATTACCATGGTATCACTACAGTATCCAAAAAAAACATCATTATACCATGGTACTTTAAGTGGACGGAGAATAAAATGCAGCGAGACATAACTGTGACGATATATCTATATCATAAAGCGCCTTTAATTATCGACCCCTCAAAGTCACCTCGAGCACTTGAGCGGTTTAACGCTAAAGCAAAGCAGTGTTCCAGCGATGAACCGTGCTGTGACCGCGCTATTGTTAAGATGGCCAGCGAAGTCCTCATGAGTGATACTCGAGGAAACACAGGCCAGCATTTGCGAATGAAAGCGCCATCCATCGCATGTAATTTATTCAGCAATCTGTAATTTTATGCATCAACTTAAAAGGGTTATTAGGTTAAAAATAGCTCCGCGGCGGCCAAGGAGGTTTCGTCCTGCTGTGTCCAGGAAGACTGAAGGAGTCTCGGGGTTAGATCCCCCTCCATTCCCGTCTGTCCTGGATCATTAGTGGACCAGAGGATGTCCAGGTTGTCCCTCGCTCCTCTACATCTGTCCTAATTAACCTCTAAAGCCACGAGCCAATCAGTCAAGACACTTTCATCTGTCTCATTGGCGTAATGATATCAGTGATGCTCAGAATCTGCTGACTCACTTCCACATTTCTGCTCAGTCAGAGTCAGACATCACTCACTGCCACTTTGAAGGTTGTAAGCAAAGATGACTTTATGTTAGTCGCTCTTAACCAGAAGGGTTTGAAGTGTATTTACTTACTATTAAGCCAAACACTAATCCTAACCCTAGCCATATAGTAAGTACATGCATAGTTAATTAATATCACTCAGTACTTAAATACATAATTACACTGTAACAAGGACACCTTAAAATAAAGTGTAACCAAAATTAAAAATAATGGTAACACTTTACAAAAACATTCTGTTTGTTAACATTAACTAGCAATGGGGGAAAACCCTTCTAAAGAGAATTTAATTTCAACATTTTCGAATACATTGCTAAAATCAAAAGTTGTATCTGATAATGTTATTTAATGGAGCTAACATTAATTAAGTAACAGTTGTGTTTTTATTAACTAACATTAACAAACATTAATAAGTACTGTAACAAATGCACTGCTCATTGTTAGTTCAAATTAATTAATGCATTAACCAGCGTCAACTAATGGATCCTTATTGTAAAGTATTAGCAACAAATTAATAATAACTATAATAGCATCTCAGTGATACTAAAATAGCACTGAAACAAACACACTATCATTTTACACTATTTAATAATAAGTTATGACCGACAGACAGCTAAAAATGACTCACAGGTTTAAGAAAGTAAAATTGAAACTGTCCCAATGGAAGATGCTTAAAGGTCCCATGGCATGAAAATTTCACTTTATGAGGTTTTTTAACATTAATATGAGTTCCCCTAGCCTGCCTACGGTCCCCCAGTGGCTAGAAATGGCGATAGGTGTAAACCGAGCCCTGGGTATCCTCCTTCGCCTTTGAGAAAATGAAAGCTCAGATGGCCCAATCTGGAATCTTCCCTTTATGTCGTCATACGGGGAAAGGTTACCTCCCCTTTCTCTGCTTTGCCCACCCAGAGAATTTGGCCCGCCCATGAGAAAATTAGCTACTACCGTGCGAGGCGAGCGCAATATTTTTTTTTCCTTGAGACATCATGGCTTGCAAACGAGCGAAGCATGGCAGTTGCCCCGCCTCTCTCCTCCTCATTAGCATTTAAAGCTACAGACACAGAAATGGCACATCCTAAGGAAAGCTCATTGTAGGACTGGCTCGTAGTGGCTGAAATTCTGCACCAAGGCTGAATTTCGGGAAAGAGACTTCAGATACAGTACTAGGGACCACTTAGGCCTATATAAAAGCATCTAAAAAGCAGCATGTCATGGGACCTTTAAGCACGCTTTTACTAGAAAAGTGGGTTGTGAACTGTAAAAACAGTGAAAGCAAGTAGATAATGTAAGAGGTATTTGAGTATTTCCAGCCACGTGACTAATATGCAACTCCTATTTTAACTTGCATATATTTAACATGCAACTCCTAAAATCTATTCAATTCCCGCTTTACTTTTCTTTTCAAGGATATCTCATATAATGGAAATAAAATGGGTTGCGAATAGCACTTCATGTTGACTTTAACACAGAAAAGCTTAGACTTTTTTGACAGAATGAATTTTGGACACGACTCTGAACCTCCGGTCTCCACACATCTCCCAGCATGACCGTGTGCTCCCTGCGCTGTAACTGGAACTCTCTGCTCCAGACGCCTGACGTTGATGGATTAATTGCAGTAAGCCAAAGCGGCCCGTCTGACATTGAAGCAAACAGACTTCAGCAATCTCTCCTCACACACACAGACACACACACACACATACACACCTCTGTTTCTTTCCCTATTCCAGCAGCCCTCAGCATAATTAATGTTTTCTTCCATCATAGTCCCTCAAGAACAGGCAGCGCGCCTCGCTTTCCAAAAAAAGTTGTTGCCAAAACGTCTATTTAACACCATGGCACTTCATTTCAATGGGAAAAAAAGAGAGCAACACCCTCTGATTTGATGGCAATTACTTCAAATGACTTCCTTAACGAGCACAATGCACACAGTCGTTTAGTTAGATTGATTACTAACAGTTAACAGCAGATAGGAGAGTCATGAAGTCAAAGGGGGGCATTTGGAAGGGTTTTTCCAAGCGCAGGTTAAACTTGTTGCTGGACTCATTTCCATCGTCACCGGTGGTCTCGCACTGTTCATTTGTCATTCTAAGAATACTGCGGCTCTGTTCCAAAACCTAGCGAGTCGCCTTGCTGTCTACTGCCTGCATAGTGCATAGGGAGCATCTAAATGACAATTTAATCTCATCTCCAAAATCACTATCGATTCTTATAGAGTTAGCATGTTGCTAAGCTAAAAACAAATACATACTGGTTAAAATGGACTATTAGATCAATTCTTAAAACAATGCTCTCTATGCCTATCACAATCTTTTTTTATAAAAATAGAACAAGTCAAAAGAATAGAAAAAGAATAGAGAATTCTAATGTTAGAGAAAAATTTTGTATATATATATATATATATATATATATATATATATATATAATGGCACTTGAATAGCTAACAGCACATAAACACTACACTCTAAAAAATGCTGGGTTGTTTCAACCCAGTGTTGGGTCAAATATGGACTAACCCAACTGTCGGGTTAAATTTTGTTTACATTTTTAAATGAGCTTTTTAAACCCAACAGTTGGGTTAGTCCATATTTGACCCAACACTGGGTTGAAACAACCCAGCATTTTTTAGAGTGTAGGTAAAATAGTGCTTTTTATTGAGAATTAAAAATAAATAAGTTTAAAAAAAAAGTTTTTGTCCCACTATACTCCCAGTGCAATATGGTGGCAACATAATGCAGCTGCTGACTGCTTTACTAGGTTTTGAAACAGAGCTCTGGAGATTTATCTCAAAAGGTGTTTAAGATCTTTTCAAACACCATTAGAAGTCCACCAAAACATCAGCATGCCCAGACACACAGAGATGCGGAGTGCGTGTGAGGTTAGTGTCCCTGACCGGTGGCCTTACCTTCTGTCCTCTCTGTGCGGGGAGTGAGGTTAAACTCGTCGGCTACTGTTAGGGAGGCATAAACAATTGTGATTGGTTAATTCAAGGCATTCCACCATTCCCAGACCCATGCAACTCATTCCATTACAGATGTTACTTGACATTTCCAAAGGCCAAACCAAGAGGCATGCAAATCACTCTGTGAAAGAGAGACAAGACGTGAGACAGACGGTCAAAGTGGGAAAACCCATGAGATGGTGAGAGAGAAGGACAGAGCTGAATGAATTATCATGCCATAACATTCAAAAGCATTGGGCAGATATATGAGTTAGATGGTTTTAGCTCCATCTACCAGGTGTAACCTGGTGTAAGTCTTACATCATACATAGGGTAGTTTTTGTTTTTTCCTGTAATTTCCCCCATGTTGGCTCTCAATTCTGTCTTTAGACTGTTACTGGAGATTGTGCTCTTCTAAAAGCCTGAGAGGAGCAAAAATATATACTCAACCTGAAGGCAGAAATGGCATTTGAAGAAAATGGCTCATCAGAACAAAGCACAGGAGATTTGGTGGAATTGAAATGTGCTTCTAATGAGTAGAGAGGGCTTTAATTGGGGCTCGTTTGAAATGACGGCCACATCTGTCCTGCTCTAAACGCATTCCATTTATTTATTTAAAACTGGGGAAGAAATAAGCACATTTCTCAGACTTTCTCAGAATCTGTTAAAGGCAGCTATTTATTTATTTATTAATTCATACATTTAAATTTTGGGGTCTGTAAGATATTTTATAGATTTTTTTAAAGAAGTCTTTTATGACAAAATACAGTAAAACAGTAATATAATGTTATATTTTAATATAACTGTTTTCTATGTGAATGTGTTAAACTGTAATGTATTTCTGTGATGCGCAGCTGTATTTTCAGCATCATTCCTCCAGTCTTCAGTGTCACATGATCTTCAGAAATCAGTATAATATGCTGATCTGCTGCTCGACAAACGTTTCTGATTATTATCAATATATATTTTTGTGTATATATTTGCATAATATTTTTGTGGAAACCGTGATTTATTTATTTTTGACGAATAGAAAGCTGAAAAACAGCATCTATTTGAAATATAAATATTCTGATTTAATTTAAATAACATCAACATATATACACATTTCACATAATTATACATAAAACAAGATTTATGTAAACAATTTTGATTTTTATAACTATCCTAATTATTTTATGTATTTTTGTTTTTAGAATTACTAGGTAACTATAAAATTATTAAATATTATTAAATATTCTTCATTATTCTTACTCTTATTCTAAATGTCACTCTTATTCTTAATTTTTTTAATTTTAACAGAGTATCCATTTCTAATGCAGTTCATCACATTAAGTATAGACATCATTCCAAAAGAGTCAGAACACTTTTGTCTCAATTTTGAGAAGTATGTTCTTAAATATTAACTACCTTCAGTTTGTGCCATCTTTAACCCTTTAAGTATCCAAAAACCACTGTATATTTGTGGTTAGTGTGTACAGTACTTTATGCGTGTAACATCTGAACACCAAAACTGATGCGTGTGACACACCTCAACTCTCACATCCAGAGTCGAACCCAGTTAAAGCTTGATGAGGCACTGAAGTGTGTCTTATCTGCTGCCAAAAGACATCCCCTTCTCTCTTTTTCTATGTGTTTAAGTGCTATATCTCCTTCCACTTTTGCTAGTGAAGTGTAAAGGGCGGGACGTGTCTCGAGTGTCTAGTCTGGTGTTGAGCGAGCGGGGCTTGGTCCGGTCTCAGGAGGCGCTGGTCTTGATGCTGGCTGAGGATAAAGAGAGGAGGAGGAGGAGGATGAAAGTGATGTTTTATCTCCTCCGATTAGCCGCGCGGCCATGTGGCAGAAGCTCTGCGTCTCCTGAGACGGGCCGCTTCACTCTCAACAACCCTGACCTGTCCTTGAGTCCCTCAAACCCACCTCAGAGGCGAGCTGAAGGCCTACTCTGAGAGATGAGTGATAAATATGTTAATTAGGAGAGAAAGGGATGCAAAAAGTCTGTTTTTGCCATCATTATTAATGTTTAAAAACTCTCTGTGCTCTTTTAAGTTTGGTGAAGTCATTACTGTGTCTGATACGGTTAGCTTTAACGTCAAGCGCTGCGCTCGCATTCGCACCCCGGCTGCTGGATTGCAAAGGAACAGGAAGCAGCGAGGCAGGGCACAGGAAGTGGTTTGGGGAGTGCTAGTGTTGAGAGTGAGGTTACCTAGGTCCATACTCTTCGACTTGCGACTCGTGATGATCTCCAGTTGAGCAGCATCGCTGTACTGTTTGGTCCGCTTTTCTGACATGCTCTGCCGGCCGAAGCCTTCCCTCTGAAACACGCCATCCATATCTGCGTCTGGACAGAGTGTGCTGAGAGACAGGAGAAACATGAGCTTTCTTTTTATTATTTATTATACAATTAGACTGAAATTGCTGAAATATTCATCCATCCAGTCATTGTTGTTTTTTTAATGAAAAATATTCATGAAAAAATAAAATTCACTGTGCTCAACTTTAGTCTTGGGGGCATAGATCAATCAGCTAGATCATATTCTAGGGATCTGCACTAGCTTAATCTTCTTAATCACTTTCAATTTATTTTAATTTAGCAACATAGCAAACAACAATCAGACGTTTCGGCAGCAAGCCTTCTTCAGTGAATCATACAGTGACGTTTCCTTACTCCCTTGTAGGAGAACAAAAAAAAAACTTTAAAAACTCTCAGATAAAAACAATCGTCTGATTGTTGTTTGCTCCGTTGCAAAATTAAAATCAATTGAAAGTGATTAAGAAGTTTAAGCGACTGTGGATCCCTTAATGAAAAATAATAAATAAATTATAACGATAATAATAATATTTGTATTATTTATTATACAATTTAAATTGATACTCCTAAAATATTAACATAGCAAATGACTGATATTAAATCAATCAATCCGGTCATTGTTGTTTTTATTTTTGTTTTTAATTAAAAATATTAGCATGAAAAACCTGCATGATGATGGTGATAAACAACAACAACATTAATAATAATAATAATAATTGTATTATTTATTATACAATTTGATTGATACTACTAAAATATTATTATAGCAATTGACTATTAAATAAATAAATAGCCTGCCATTGTTGTTTTTAAGTTTATAGGGTGACTGAAAACTGAATATAATACTACTACTACTACTACTACTAATAACAATAATAATAAAAATAAATTAAATTTTTGTTCTCATTGAAAAATGTTGGCAATAACAATAATGATATCTTATTTTTTATTATAGATTGCTATTACTATATTAAGGCCTAATGGATAGAGAGTCTGACTTGCAACCCGAAGGTCGTGGGTTCGAGTCTCAGGTACGGCAGGGATTGTAGGTGGGGGGAGTGAATAACCAGTGCTCTCTCCTCCTTCAATACCACGACTGAGGTGAGACCCTTGAGCAAGGCACCGAACCCCCAACTGCTCCCCGGGCGCCGCTGCCCACTGCTCCGGGGGTGTGTTCACGGTGCGTGTGTGTGTGCGCGTGTGTGTGTGTGTGTGTGTGTGTGTGTGTTCACTACAGTGTGTGTGTGCACTTGGATGGGTTAAATGCAGAGCACAGATTCCAAGTAAGGGACACCATACTTGGCCACACGTCACTTCACTTTCACGTTCACTTAAGTATCAATATAATAAATGATTAATCAAGGAACAAAAAAAACACATGGCAGAGTTTTAGCAGTTTTCTCCTTCAGTCCACATCAGACTCCGCTCTACTCCAGCAGCTCAGTTTAAAGCACACTGTTCCTCCAGCCTTGCGGCGACTGTGTCTAAACAATAAACAAGTCCTTGGATTAGACCTCCATCACTCCCTACAGTCACAGCAGCTCTCAAACCAACCGACAGGCTGCAACAGGAGGACAAACACATGAATGATGCATTATTCATTCTGTATTCCTTCCTACTTCACAACAAACACACACTGTGTGTCCCGGAGAGAAAATAAGGACATCATGCATCTCAGACATGAGATCTGGACACTGAAAGCTAGTGTTTCCAAACAGAATATAAACAGAAACAGAGTAAAAAGCAGCAAGGACAGCAGAGACGGACTGGATAAAATGGAGGCCAAATGTAGTGATGCAGAGACTCACAACAGGACTGACCGAATGTTACACTAATGACCAGAGAATACACACTGAGACTTTACCAACTTACTGAAAGACTCCTGAAAATCTGCCCTGAAATAAACTCGGATCATTGGGATTGAGCAACCTTCCTTTATTGACGTAAATACACAGACACCACCAGCCAACACAAGTTAAATACTGACTGGTTCTGTCATGACTGCTTCAGATCACGAGGTAGAATTTTTTCTGATCTTTAAACTTTCTTCAAAGAAGTTGTTTTGCACAATTGTTTTCTAAAACGTTTGGTGTGATTGTAATGGCAGCAGTATTGTGAACACAGATATTTGTTATTAAAAATAATAATAAAAATAAAAAAATGCCGGAGCGACAAGACAAAAACAATAAAACCCATTACAAACAAGGCATTTGTTGCATCCAGTGGGGACATAATTACGGATTATAATGACTTATACTGTCTTTTACGTGTTGCATCGCGCCTCGTAAACAAAACCATGTCTGCATTTATGATCGGAAAAATGACAAACAACAAGCACTACTCTACACTGCCCAAAACTCTTGTTTGAATCGTCAGTGGCAAATTCTTTAAATATGAAAA